CTGAGATCAGACTATATTGAGGTCAGTGTTGAAGCCAAGGCCGGGACGGGGGACTTGCGTCCAAGTTTTATACTATTTGCTAAAATTATACCTGAATATTCTCGGAACAATATTTATTTTTCCTTTCTATACTAATCAAATATCTGCATCCACCCATAAATTAATTAGATAATTGTTGCTTTTACTCGTCAGTCATCACTCATATCGTAAATGATTTTGTTTTAAATTGTTTGATTATTTGCAGTGAATCCATTTGTCCTCCACAAACAAATAAAAAAACAATCTGGAGCTCCATTCATTTGCCTTCTTCTCTGGTGGTTTTCAAAATGTTATCACTATATGTTGTTTTTTGTTCTTAAGTTATCATGTTATTTTTTTAATGCTTTCCTTATTATAATTATTTCGAAGAAAGGAACTTTTTTTTATATTTTACTTGAGCCGAGATTCTTTCGAAAACAATCTCTCAGTCTCTATAGAATAGAAGTTTAACTCGTTTTTTCCTTTCAACTTGAATTACTTGAGATTCATGGCTAGCTATAATTGGATACATTAGCCATGAAACTTAAACCATAATTGTCTAAGTTAAATTAGTTGAGCTTTGTAGGTGTGTTTAGTTCATGCCGATGATTATTATGATTTCTGTTTGTATTAGTAACTTTGATGAGACATGAATATAGACCAACAAATTTATGTATTTTTACAGTCTAATTAATTGATATCTATCTCAAAATATGTCACATTTTCCAATCCAAAATCACCTCTTTATCCACGACTTGCTCTCGGGAAGTCATGGGATATAGTAAGTTTTTCTTTTGCTATATGCATCTAGTAATGTTTTATGGTGTTTAGTTCCAATACCAAATTAACTAATGACTTTCTTCTCCTAGATGACTGTTACATGGACAAGTGGTTACAACATTGATGAAGTTGTTCCATTTCATCGTACAGGTATGGAAGGGACAAGTGCAACAACGCTCTCCAGCAGGGACAGTGACATTTCATCAGAACACCATGTGTGGTATGTCACGTGTTTATAAGCACAGAACTAGGTAACAGAGATGTATTGGTTTTGCATTCATACTTTTTAACGTTATGTACACGTTTGTAGGATCTCCTGCTAGAGCTATGGGATGGAGTGATCCTGGATTCATACATACAAGTTTTCTCAAGGAGTTATGGCCAAATGTGGTGAAATTTATCTGGTGGTACAGTTTTGTTTCTTCCATCGACATGTACACCCGTTTTTAGATCATATTTGTGAGATTTCAGGTACACATACAAGTTGGGTCACTTATTAAGCGATGATTCAGTTGTTATGATGAGCAAGCTATATTCATATAAATCTCCTCCATTTCCAAGATAAGAGTGTTGGGTTTAGCAAGTGTGAATGGGAAAAGAAAAGAGAGAATATGAAAAGTGACGGAACTATTTTAGAGGGAAAATGAAAAGTCATTCGCAAAGTGCAAATGAAAATTCAATTCTCTCATATCGGCAAAAGTAAGGGAAATTGTTGTCCTTATATAAGGAAACCCTTCCATTACTTCTTAAAGAGCTAAGAAGAAGATACCCCCTCGCGCCGTCGTCGCTCGCTCGGCTGCGGCTTCGGCTTCGACTTCGGCTTCGGATCTCTGCATATATAGTTTTCTCTCAAATAAATCAAAGTATCGATCGACTAGTCTGTGTGACTTGTTGTTGTTCTGAAGTTCGCTGAAAATAAAGAAATTTGAGGTACCACTATTTCTTAAACAGGTTTAATCCATTTTATCTTGGGAGAAATTAATCCATAATCTTGGGTACAGTGAGGGGATTAAATTTCTTAAGGACACACAGTAGTTTCTGTCGACTCGGATTACTTCTTGTATTTTATGTATTTTCTATTTAATCTTATTCTGTTTCTGTCGTTTTAAGCTAACCTTATAATATAAGTTTTATAACAAACTTAAGAAATTTAATAAGTTTCTGTATTTGATGTTTCTGGAGATTAAAACCTTTATGGTTTTCTACTCTACTTGAATTTTTAAAATTCATTCGATTAACGATTAAAAGAACATAAAAACTTCATCATTAAATCAGAAATAGTCTGTGTAAAGATTTGTTCTTTACTGTTAGTATTTCAAATACTTAAGTTATCTTCCATTTGTGACAGAAAAAAGAAAAATGGTTAATTCAAGTCAAACAAATGCTCAAACAATAAGTGTTGCAACAGTAAGTGCTGCAACAACATCGGTTGCACATAATCGTTCAAATGCCGCCTTAGTGCCGACTGAGAGACCTGCAAAGTTTTCTAGAGTCGACTTTAAGAGATGGCAGCAAATGATGTTCTTCTATCTCACTACGTTGAGTCTGCAGAAGTTCATTAATGAGAATTTTATTGTTATGTCAGATGAAACTCCGCCCGATGAACTATTCTTGGTAACAGAAGCATGGACACACTCGGATTTTTTGTGTAAAAATTATATTCTAAGTGGCCTCAAGATGATCGGTACAATATGTACAGCAATATCAATACCTCAAAGAACTCTGGGATGCTTTAGAAAAGAAGTACAAAATAGAAGATGCCGGAACGAAGAAATTCATTGTGGCAAAATTTCTGGACTATAAGATGATAGACAGTAAGACCGTCGTCACCCAAGTTCAAGAATTGCAGGTCATAATCCATGATCTCCTTGCTGAAGGTATAAATTTATTTAATGCCTATGTTAGAAATATTAAGTTTTTCCTTAATACTCATATAATCTTTAATGTAGGATTGATTGTGAATGATGCATTTCAAGTGGCTGCAATTATTGAAAAGTTACCTCCATTGTGGAAAGACTTCAAAAACTACTTGAAAAATAAACGCAAGGAGATGATTGTTGAAGATCTCATAGTAAGGTTGAGAATTGAAGAGGATAATAAGGCTGCAGAAAAGAGTTCACGTGGTAATTCAACAATACCTGGAGTAAATTTTGTTGAAGAAGATCCCACAAAATTAAAGAAAAGAAAGAAATCATCTAGTCCAAAAAGCAATCCTCCTAAGAAGAAATTCAATGGAAACTGCTTCAACTGTGGTAAACATGGTCACAGGGCTACTGAATGTCAGGGTCCTAAGAAGGACAAGAAAAAGAAGGATCAAGCAAACTTGGCTGAATCCAAAGGAGAAATGAATGATCTCTGTGCAATGCTTTCAGAATGTAATTTTGTTGGAAATCCAAGAGAATGGTGGATAGATTCTGGTGCCTCATGTCATGTTTGTGCCAACAAAGAATTATTTGCATCATATACTCCAGCACCTACATATGAGAAGTTGTTTATGGCAAACTCCGTTGTTGCAAAAGTGGAAAGAACTGACAAAGTCCTATTAAAGATGACATCAGGCAAAGTGGTGACTTTGAATAGGGTGTCATATGTTCCAGAATTGAGAAAGAATTTAGTTTCAATTCCAGTTCTGACCAAGAATGAATTCAAAGTGTATTTGTTTCTGATAAAGTAGTAGTAAGCAAGAATGATATGTATGCAAGAAAAGGCTACCTTAGTGATGGCCTTTTCAAACTCAATGTAATTGCAGTTGATATGAATAAAGATTTTGCTTCTTCTTATTTGCTTGAGTCTAAATGTTTATGGCATGAACGTTTGGGACTTTTTAACAACAAAACCTTGCGAAAACTGATTAACTTAAATATTTTGCCAATATTTGAGTTCAATAAATCAAAATGTCAAATTTGCATTGAATATAAGTATGCTAAGCATACTTATAAATCTGTTGAAAGGAATTCAAATCCTTTAGAATTGATTCACACTGATATTTGTGACATGAAGTCAACACCATCACGTGGTGGGAAAAAGTATGTCATAACTTTTATTTTACGATTGCACTAGATATTATTATGTCTATTTGCTAAATGGTAAGTTTGAAACAATAGATGCATTTAGGCAATATAAAACTGAAGTTGAAAATCAATTAGATATAAAGATCAAAATGATCAGAAGTGATAGAGGTGGATAATATGAATCTCCATTTGCAGAAATATATTTACAAAATGGAATAATCCATCAAACTACTGCTCCCTACACTCCTCAGTCTAATGGAATTGCAGAAAACAAAACCAAACTTTAAAAGAAATGATGAATGCATTACTTATAAGTTCAGGTTTACCACAGAACTTGTGGGGGGGAAGCTATCTTTACAGAAAATCAAATACTTAACAGAGTACCTCACTCGAAGACAAATGTAATTCCATATGAGAAATGGAAAGGTAGAAAACCCAACTTGAAATATTTCAAAGTGTGGGGGTATCTAGCCAACGTCCAAATTCCTATACCTAAAATGGTAAAAATAGGGCCTAAGACTGTGGATTGTATATTTATTGGATATGTCACAAACAGTAATTCATGTCAATTTTTGGTTCATAAGTTTGAACATCCGGATATTCATGATAATACAGTAATGGAATCAGATAGTGTTGAACATATCTATCCGTATAAAACTAGACTGGATTCATCTAATGGGGGGTCTAAACAACCCAGAGAAGAACCAAAAGAGAATGAACCCAATGAAGAAAGTCCAAGACGCAGTAAACGTCTAAGGACATCTACTTTATTTGGATCTGATTTTGTAACATTTCTTCTTGAAAGTGAGCCTCAAACATTCAAGGTAGCAATGTTGCCTAGCGACTCAACCTCTTGGAAGGAGGATGTTAATAGTGAAATTGAATCAATCTTAAGCAATCATACTTGGGAGTTGGTTGATCTTCCTCAAGGGAACAAACCCTTGGGTTCAAAATGGATCTTTAAAAGGAAGATGAAAGATGATGGAACTATTGACAAATATAAAGCAAGGCTTGTTGTCAAAGGTTTTAGACAAAAAGAATGTATTGATTATTTTGACACATATTCGCCAGTGACTAGGATTACATCAATTCAGATGTTAATTGCACTAGCTGCAGTATACGGTCTTGAAGTTCATTAAATGGATGTGAAAACAACCTTCTTAAATGGAGAGATGGAAGAAGAAATTTACATAGAACAGCCTTAGGGTTTTGTAGTTTCTGTTAAAGAAAAGAAAGTGTGCAAACTTATTAAGTCACTTTATGGACTAAAACGAGCACCAAAA